TACATCTTTCCAAAATAGCACGTTTTCAGAATAATTTTTTTCCAGTTGACATGATGGATTTGCCTTCTTCAGCCATCTACATTCTCCTTGACCAAGGTTAAGCATTTTCACTATAGTTAGCCTAAGAGAATGTATCTAAATTAAAAAAAATTAAATGAGAAAAAATTTAAATAGCCTTTAAAGGTCTGTATTTAGATTCTGGCAAAGTACAAGTGCAAATCTTTGTCTTGTGTGAATATACAAAAGCAAGCTATCACCTCAAAGGTGCTGAAGGGCATTCTCTCCAAGGGGTATATGTTCTTGAGGCTTTTTGGGGGAAGGGATAAAGAAGATTGGACAATACCCCAAAGAAAAAACTGGTTGTGGTGGTGTCTGATTACATAATTTCATCTGAACTTGACACCTACCATCTGACTAGGGGGTGAAGATATTTCTGGACAGGCTTTGTGCACAAGGAGAGGCAGTGGCCGCATCAGTGCGTCAGGGCGCCAGGCAGGCAGGTCAGCAACCGCTGTGCTGTTTGGCCTTTCCTGGTCACAGCAGGAGATACTGTTAGGGAGTCAGGCCCTGGGACTCCAAGCCTGTCACTCCAGGAGACAGAGACTTAAACAATTTGAGTGTACTGCTTCTGAAAGACAAAGGCATGAAAGCACTTTCTTCCTATAACTTCACGTGTGTCCCTGATGCATTATTTTCCTAGAAATCAACTTTTAGCTACTTCCTAGGGATTCCAACATGAGAACTCCCTGACAGTCTCTGGTTCTCAAGGAACTTTCAGTCTGTCTTTGGGATTTCAGCTCTACCCAAACCCTTCGCGATTGTTCCCAGTGCCGTTTCCTACAGGTCACAATCTCTTATCTAAAATTTTAGGATCAAATGTATTTCTGAGTACAGATAGTGTCAGAGTTGAGAGTAGCGATGATAATATAAATCCTATCATATTCCTAGTGGTCACATGATAACAAAAATAATTAATATTTATATGTGTGGAATGTAATTTTGTTAAGGGGATAAATAAGGATTGTAGGGAACTTCAAGTGGACTTGCATCAGTTTTGACTGTACCAAATTTCAGAGTATTTAGGATTTCACAACTGTGTGCATGAGATTGCGAATGTACACTGTTACATTCTAACCTCCTGAAGGCCAGGAGAGGAGAAGGGATGTGAAGAGGGAAGGCTTATGTGAGAATCACACTTCTTTTCTTTTTTTTTTTTTTTTATTAATTTTATTGAGAAACAAGTAGCAATGAGACAGTTCTAAAACAGGTTAGTAGGACAGTTACAATAATTAATACATTGCATACTGTTATCTTCATAGTAGTTATTCATAGTACAAGATGCAGACATGATATCCTGTCCAAAATCTTACTACAAATCTTTCTTCTCATTGAATTAAGAGAAAGTAGGTGTATATCTATCCTAACTATTTTGTATATACAGATGCAAAATGGTCCTTCATTTATATCCCCTTTTTTTGTTTAGTTTTGTCAGAGATGGTTATTCCATTGCTATTTAAATAATGTAGGTGTGTGAATTCCGCAAAATAATTCAATATAGTCCAATAGTCCGTAATAGTAGTGGGTTATCTGTGGGACTGGCAATGTCAGAAGTTCTTGACTTGAGCCTTTTATAGCTCAGCATATTAATATGGCTTTACTTTTTATACTTTGTTTTTGTACTTTTCTGCTGGATGGTTGAGACCAAGATAAAGCAAGACCTATATAACAAGAAATGTAACTTCTGTATCTGACAAGGTCAGTCAAATCCCCTCAGGATATACCCTGAAACACTGTACTGCAGTTTGTAGATCCTTTCACGTTTCTTATAATAGGATGAAGAGTCAACCTCTCAATCCCTGGTTTCTGTGAATAGTACCTTATTTGCCAAAAGTTAGGACACAATTAAGGATTATGAGATGTACAGATTATTCTGAATTATGCATGTTGTTCCTAACCACATGTAACTTCTTAAGAGGCTGACAAGGAAGAGCTGGAAGTGAAGATGGAGCAGCGGGAAATTTGGAGATGTTCACCTCATAATCTGGGGTGAGATAGCCATATTCTAAGGCATGCTGGCAGCCCCTGCAAGCCAGAAGAGGCAAGGAACAGATTCTTTCCTGCTGTCTGGAGAGAAAGAGAGTAGAGTTTCTGCCAGCATCTTGGTTTCTATCTTTTGAGGCTAATTCTGAACCTCTCACTTCCAAATCTGTGAGAACATCAATTTCTGTTGCTTTCAGTGGCTGAATTTGTGGTTAGTTGTTACAGTAGCAAATCCAATAAAATGTGTCTTAACATTTCTTATCTCTCCATGTCAGTCACTTTTCACAAATGACCTCTCTTTGCTTAGTAATTCAGTACATGTTGTTTAAATTTTCTAAATCTCCATTTCTTTGTTTGTCATATGAGGATTGTGATACGTACCTCTCAGACTTGTAAGGATTAACTCTAAAGACACATGTAAAAGCCCTCATGTATCAAGGTATACAGTTAATGCTCCATAAATGATAGTTTATTTTCAACATTACTATTCTCGGAGATTCTTTTCATAACTTCTGGGAGCTATGAATTTACATTTACATTAGAGTCCATCCATACTGCAGAATGAATTGACTGATCAAACTTCAATTTTCCCTCATCTAAAATATGTTGCTAGCTTCTCTGCCTTCATCAAAGTCATGTGATGATGCATGCATTTTATGTCTAAGAATGTGGGTAGTCTAATGACACACCATTCAGTCCCAGAAGCCTTAGTTTCTATATTTGTCCTAAACATTTTTATTTTCTCCAACCCTGGAGTCTTTGAATTTCATGTCTTCAAACAAAGCAAAGATAATTAATTTGAAAATACTTAGAAATATGTCTATTTGCCAATAACAGTGTCTATTGGTACTCAATAAAAGATTTTTCTCCAAAATTTGGCAGCCATATGAAAGTACTATAGAAAGAAAGAAAGAGATAATGAGAGAGAGAGAGAGAGAGAGAGAGAGAGAGAGAGAGAGAGAGAGAGAGAAATCACAAAAACTTAAGGGACTAGAGCACTTTGAAGAGAGAAAATTAATAATTATGAATGGCTTAATCACCTAAAAAGAATATGATAACTGATTCATTAGAAATCACCCACCAGGAATTAAAGAGTATAAGAACAAAAGCTCTGAATAGCAGAGAATGTTGTTTATCTACCTACAAAGAGTTAGGTTGGATACTAGGTATAGTCACACATAGAATTCCAGTTAGACCACACACTTTTGAAAGGTTAGGGTGTTCTTCTTCTATTTTTAAATCTTTTATTTATTTGGTACAGGGTCTCACTATGCAGCTTGGACTCATGGTGCTCCTCCTCAGCCTCCCCAGTGCTGGGATTACAGGCGTGTGCCATCACACCTGCTTTTGGTGGCTGACTTGGTGCGGGCCAGCACGGCATGTGGTAGCGGGGAATCAAACCCAGATCCTTGCGATTGCCAGGCGGGTGCTTAGACTGCCGAGCTATCTCCCTGGCTCAGTTTAGGGTGTTCTAAAGCTCTGCTAATTTGAGCAGAGCTGGATTTTACTACTGATATCGATGTAGTAGATAGTTGTATTTCTTAAAAAACAAAGGTGTTAGACTGGGCGTGGTGGCGCGCACTTGTCATTCCAGTGCTTGGGAGGCTGAAAACAGGAGAACCACTATAAGTCTGATCTGTGTAGTGAGACACTGTAGACCCTGTACTATATATATATATATGTTCTTTCTTAACATATATTTAAAATGTATTATTCTTGCGGACACTAACTTTGTGACCTCTGACAAATATCTCAAAGAAGCTGGGTGAGTGGAACCTGTCCATCACCCTCCCAAAAGGTCCATGCAATGCTGAGATCACAGAACCCGAGAGCTACAAGGGCCTTGGCCATTATCTAGTGACACTAGATCTTATCTAGTCCTTTACACAGTAGGAAACTGAGGCAGCTAGTGAGCAGGGCAAAGCTGGGCCTCCAGGGCTTCTTTTCCACACAGTCCTCTCTCTGATCCACACTCAGGCAGTATCAGTTGACTTATGGTTAACTCTTTTCCTGCCTCAAATTGTTGCTTCCTCAACTCTGTGACTCATAGAAAAAGGCATCGTAAAGTGTCCGAGGGGTTCCAAGATCGGATCTAGAATGCAGCTGAACCCCTACCACGGCATGAGCCCGAGGAGGTCCCTTGCCCTCGGTGCACTGTGGGCTTCTCCATCTGGAAACGGTTCTCACAGCTGCCTACTCTTTTCTTTTCCAGGGTTTAGTGTAATTGTCATTGTTCATGCTCTAGTCCTGCTTTGGGTTGTAGTGCTTAAAGGCAGAAGGGAAGCCTCACTGCCTAAGTTCAAATCCTCGCATCACTGACATGCTTAGTGGGTCAGTTACTTAATTACAGACTCGGTTTCCTCATCTGTAAGATGTAGCAGCATAGAGGCTACTTCAGCTGAAAGGTAACTGAGTTAGTAAGTGTAGAACACAGAGCAGTTCCTGGTAGCTGTCCCGTGCTTCTTCTTCCTCCTCCTCCTTCACCACTGTATCCTTTCTTGGTGGGGTTCCTGCATTTACCCTCGACTTTGTCTCTTGCTTCTCTCACACCCTCACTAAGCTTCTCCCCAAGTTTCCTGAAGTATCAGTGATCTCGTACAACACTTCCTCCAGCTGGAATGATACCCTTTCTTCACTGCTGCCAAACAGCGTCTAAGAAAGAGAACAAATAGGAAACAGGAATGAATCTCTTGGTTTTCTTTAGGAAGAGAAATGACCAAATGCAGGAGGAGAGATGGGCAGTTCTGTATGAATCGCGAGCCACCCTTACATTAGTTTCCATGCCCCTCTGAGGGTGAATGCCCACATTTTGCTTTTTTCTAAATCCTGCCACTGTAATTGTTCCTCGCAGCAAGTGTCTTCACAATCTACTTGGTCTCTCCCTTCCAGGAGGCTATAGCCACTAATTGGTTGATCCATGTGAGCAGGAAATCAGTGTACCTCTAAAATAAACTCATCTGATCCTTCAGTTCGTGAACGTGATGACTGGGTATTCATGTTGTGCTCACGAGATACGCCTCCCTCAAGCCCTGTAATGGTGGTGCATTACCTGTCCGATGTGAAAAATATAGAATAAAATAATCTCCTCTTACCTCGTCATGAGAAGGTACTCTTCAAACTTTCAGTGCGGATAAATATATTGGATGGAAAACATGGATTTCTTCATCTCTTTTCCCTGTCATATCTGAGCAGCATCTATGAGGACAATATGTAAGATTTATAGTTCGTATTTTTATTTCTTCTCAAAATCGTCATGGCCATTGATGTCCAGGTTGTCCAAATCTCTATTTTGGGTTAGGACAGTAGATTCCTCACTCCTTCCTCACAAGGACTGTTTTTTTTGTATTTTAGGGAAGGGTCTACAGTGTGTTCAGGGTCTCACTGCTAAATGGGACTCGTAGTGATTCTTCTGTTTACAGCCTCCCAAGAGCTGGGATTACAGGAATGTACCACCACGCCCAGTCTCAATTGCAGTCTCAATGTGCCCCGGGGGTGGGGCCAGCACAACAGGCCTGGGGATCGAACCCCTGGCCCCTATGCCTGCTTGTAGGTGCTTGAATCTGCTGAGCTATTTGTCTGGTCCTTCACAGGGACATTTTTGAAGAGGATCAGCTAGATGTTTTGCAGACTGAGCCTCACTTTGGGTTTCCTTATGTTTAGATTCCAGCTAAGCTTTTGGCAGAAATCATACACAAGGAGTATAGCCTTCCTTCTCTGTGTGTCACAAGAGTAGGCTTTATAATTCATAAAAGATTTGTGAGAAGATATTTAAGACTATATAAATATATTTCCCTCTCAAATTTTCACCAATAGTTACATCAACCACTGAAGATTTTTAGCTAAATAACTTGGCACCATAATAGCTGCCAAGTGGTAATTTTTTAACTTCATAATTCCCTGTACATTTTTCAGTTGGCATTATAATTTAATTGACTCAATAAGGTAGCTATCAATGTGGACTCCTGAATTCTTTTTTTTTTTTTTTTGATACAGGATCTCACTACACAGCTTATAGTGATCCTCCTTTTTCAGCTACCTCAGTGCTGAGATTATGGGCATGCACTACCTTGCCTGGACTCAGTGGCTGGCTCAGCATGCCCAGGGAGGAGGGGGTTGGTACTGCATGTAGCGCCAGGGATTGAATCCCAGTTCCTGGGCTTGGCTAGGCAGGTGCTTAGTCCACTGAGCTATCTAGCCAGCCCTTCTAAATTTTTATTTTGTTCAGTAAAGTATACCTTTTTATTATCTTCATTCCTTTTGATGTTTTAATCTCTGAGATTTAGTGAGTAGGAGTCATTTCGAACTGGTCTTGTGTCTTCTCATATATTCTCATAATTTTCTTTAGTGTGTCTTCTATTTCTCATATAAGACATTTTATTATCTTTATTTCTGATGAATAATTTCACTAGTAAGTTAGAGATTAGCAGCAATTTTCTTTCAGTATTTTAAAGATCTTTTCCATTGTCTTTTGACAGTCATCACTCTTGTGGATCTGTCAGCTCTCTGACTCTCTGTGGCTCCTTTGCAGCAAAGTCATATTTTTAACCTCTGACTACTACATATTTTTTACATTTTCTCTTTGTCTTTTAATTTGAGTATGTTTTACTATTTTATGCTCACATATAATTTTCCTTATTCTTGTGTAGGTTTTTAAATTTTAATAAATCTGTGGTCTAATGTCTCAGTTTTAAAAATTCTCAGCTAGTATTTTTGCAAATATTTCTTTCTTTTACACATATTCATTCCTCCTAGTTTGTAAGGCTCTAATGATACATGATAGACATTTTCACTCCATACAGTGTATTTATTTTACCCTCCTTCTTGATATCCATATTTTTCTGTACTGTAGTTCAGTCTGAATACTTTAAACTGGCCTTGCCTTCCAATTTAAAAAGTACATTTTCTACTTGGTTTAACTGCTATTGCACTCTGTTGAATTCTTAAGTTAACATACTGAATTCTTACTTTTAGTTCTTGAGGTCCTAATATAGATCATAAGTCTGTGCTGAAATTCTTCATATTTCTTTTTTTTTTAATTTTATTTATTTATTTGTGTGTGTGTGTGTGTGTGTGTGTGTGTG